GTAAAGGTAGTGGAGGCAAAAATATTGTTAGACAGGAAGTGCGATCTTTAGAGGCCACATTAAACAAGGAAAGAGAGTCTCACTCCTTATTTGACATCAAATTTAGTTGGGTTATGTTATTGTTTGTCCCAAATGTCACATGAAATCTTATTTATATTGAAGTTTTTTAACAATTGTGTCGTATTGTCGTATTTTAGACTATTACTGTTAATAATTAATTAAAACTTTCTCATCTAGGACACATTCTGAAAAATATTATATAGCTACTGTTAATAAGTGTCAGAAAATTTAAATTTGGCGCATTCGCATTTTCGGATATGTCCGCCATCAGAGGCCACTTTTTTGGTCTCCTTTTCATAAGGATTAGATTCCCTCTTTTGTCTTTTTACTCGATGGCTCGCACCCCCGTTCGTTATCATAGAACATAATTAGAATAGATACATGAAACGTTAATAGTCTCTATGCTCCAGGAAAACTCAGTAATTTAATTCATGAGATTAAACGATTGTGAATTAAAAATTAGCATTATTGGCATAAGTGAACTGAGATGGTCTGGATCGCGAACATATGAACAGTTACTAATCTGGTGGAGAGGATAACGACAAACATAACAGGAACGGAGTTGGTATAGTTATAATATCGCAGTTTAAAAAATACGTTAATATTTTTATACTTGTTAATGACAGAATAGTATTGACGAAATTAAATAGCAGACCATGTAATGTAAATATTATCCAGGTATACGCCCTTACCGCAGAAAAGAAATACGACAATGAAGTAGAATATTTTTATAGTCAGTTAAAACAGACACGTAAAAACATAAAAGGAAATGAAGTTACATATATTCTTGGTGATTTTAACGCGAAAATTGGAAGGTCAAAGATCTAACATGGTAGGAGAATATGGACTAGGAGATAGCAACGAGAACGATACGAATGGTTTTACCACTTCTGCGAAGAACACCATATGATAATAACAAATACCTGGTTTAAGCTAAGCAGGAGAAGACTTTAGAAGAAACCAGGAGATCGTCTACATCACATAATTAGAAATCAGATAGTTAGACAGAAATCTCTTGTTCAGAAGATTCAAAACTAGTGCCAACAGAATAACGACATATCCTAATGCAGATATCGCTTCAGAACACAATCCTCTAATAACTGACATCAAAGTCAAGCTGAATTTTTTTCTAAAAGTCCCAAAACATCAAAAATAAATATAACAGGGGATAACAAAAATAAATAGAAGAAGATCTAAATAAACATTTTAGTACTATAATACACGAAAACAATGATGTAGAAATATGGAAAATATTTAAAGATAATATCTTTAAATATCTAAATATCTAAAAGATTTGCAGATGGTTCGTACAACATTGTATGAGACCATTCTTCTGTAACGATAACTTAAACTAAACGCATGATTAAATGTTAAATATGGTCAGTTGTCTTATATGGTATAGAATAATGGATCTTGAAAGTATCTACTATTAACCGCTTAGAGACTTTTGAAGTATGATTTTACAGACGAACACTAAAAGTACCGCGGACAGCCAAGCAGACATATAAAGCAGTTCTCAATAGAGCAGAAGAAATTAAACGTAATTTGATCGTGTATTTGCACCATTCGACCAAATCGGCGCGATTTATGGCAGACAAACAAGTCTGTCTGCAGCAGTACGACAGAGTTGATTGGGTCGTAAATTTGATCGTGTATATTGTGACAACAACAAAATCGTACGACTGCAAAAAAATCGAATTTGCTGGTAAATTTCGAAAACGGCTTATAACTAGAGGCGTTTAAGAGATTTCTTTGACATTTATAAAGAACAGAGTGTCTTTGGAAAATAAAATCGAGATCATGTTATGATAAAACTAGAAAAAAAAGGTGTGAATATTTTGGTTGCTAAATTTCAAGAAGTGAAAGCGGATACTAATGAAGAGTTGATAAAAAAGAAAATTAATAATTTTTGAACATGTTACCAATGGCAATTAAAATTATCTGGATATAATCGCAATTCTAATAAATGTACGTGTCAATATGTATGTCTTTTCAGCAACCAATCTTTGCACCAGCACCTACGTTTCTTGTATTTTTTTCGTTTATACAAAGACCAAGAGCCGCTAAAAGTATATCATTATCTGACATGTTTCTGATTTGAAAGTAAGGTTGAGTTTACCGAAAGTACAAGCTGATTATAGCCGCAAATATCAAACACTGAACAAAAAATTTCGGTATAGGAATGTTGGCATGTTTTTATCATGTAGATGCTGTATACTTCAAATATAAAAAGATAAAACTTTAGAAAAGTACATTTTGCTTATATTATGTTATGAATTCTGCAATTTTTGATTTATATAAAACAACAATGAGTAAATATTCGTTTCTTTGGAGATTAATTACAGTTAATTATTAGACATTTTTTTAGCAATTACCCTTTGATAGATTAGGAGATAGATTTGGCAATCGTCTAATCAGCAGTTGGCAGATTACAAAAGATGTTTGCAATTAATCTCGAAAGAGACAAATATCTACTCGTTATTACTTCATATAGATTAAAAATTGCAGAATTCATAAAATAGTATAATCAAAATGTACTTTTAAAAGATTTATCTCTTTATATTTGAAGCATACAACATATGCTTTATAAAAACATGCTAACACTGCCAAACCGAAATATTTGTGACATTTGCGGCTATATTTAGCTTGTACTTTCGGTAAAATCAACCGAAAGTAAAACTCATACTACAAAATCGGTACGTGCGTGTTCCCATCCGATTTTCAACATTATTGTACTACAATTGCGTTCGACAAAATCATACTACGCCGTTGGAACGTAAGTGGCGAGAATGAAATATACAATGCGGGGAAAACAACATATTCTTCGATAAATTTTGATGGGTAAAATCCAGACAAATAAAGCAGTCCTCAAAAAGCAGAAGTTACTCGTCAGCTGATTGATAATGTCAAATCCTGGAAAATAGCATATCTTATACATATAATGCGGGAAAAAACAGCATAATATTCATCGATAAATTGTAATGGTTAAAATCGAAGGGCACAGGTCAATTTTTAGAAAACAAGTCTCTTGGTTGAAGAATGCCAGAGAATGAATCAGGATACGGAGAGTCTAACAACTGTTAAGACAGTTAGATTAGATAAGATTTTGACAGTTAAAACAGAGAGAATCCAGCCGTGCTAATCGCCAATGTTAAAGGGACTTATAATTCACAAAAAAGGAGAAGTCCACTCGTTTATACCGTGTACATTACATTTTGTTCTGATCTCGTCACTGCCTATTAGGTTTCTCAACGTTCTCCTGTAATTCTTCTGAGTATTCTCATTTTTGCTGTTTCCAGCATCCTCTTTGTTTTAGCTGTGTCGGGTCTTGTTTCTGATTATTTGTTTTATACATTATTTGTTTTATACTGACCTTATAGATTCTTGATTTCATCTCCAATGTTAATTGTGTGGGTTACGCCCCATAACTAATATATTTGCTCTTTGTACTTGATGTCTTACTTCTTTTTAGACGTCTTCATAGCTGGATATTGTAATCTATGGGTGCTTTAGCTAACTCCATCGACTTTCAGTTTACATATTATTGGTTCTATACTGATTATTATTGTAGTTTTCTGAGTTAAAATCGTCAGGTTATTTTTTTTTGCTCTTGTGTTAAATCTAATGCTCTCGATATTGCATCTTCTGCGTAACAGAGAATTTTAATTTCAGTGTTCTCCATTATGTATCCATCCTCTTCCTTTGTTGACACTCTTTATGACTGTATCCTCTTAATAAGTACTGAGGAACATTGTTGATGCTCCTTGGTATATCCGTAAGAGCAACCTCTACCAGGATCTGGGTATGGAAACTGTGACCGAAGTAATCAAGAGAACAGCAAAAAGTCACAAGCAGAGGCTGCATAGTTATGTGAATGTCGAGACAATCCAGCTTCTTGACAACAATGAACTAAAGAGAAGACTCATACGGATAAAACTATTTGAGTTAGTGTTAATGTGTAACAGTTTAGTGTAAAAAGCAGGGTATAGTACTGTGATGTTATTGCATATTAGTTGTAGTGCATTAGTTGATAGATAAAATATGATCAAGTCATAGGGTAAGTCCTTGGATGTAGGTATTTGCTGTTCATGAAGTTAGGTCAGAAAATAACTGATAATTGGTCATTTGTGACTAGATAGTAGTATACAAATACCGTACAGGTGTTATACAAAAAAATCCACGATTAGATTGAATAGAGTAGAGCTTAGTGAATCCCTTTGTCTTATTCCATTTCCCGTATCTATATGTCTCGTAAGTTGTCCATTTATTCTGCATTACATTTTATAATTGTTTTATGACGGATAATAGGAATGATTGTTTTATGACGAATATTCCCTGTGTACACGACCTTCACGTACGGACATCTTGTTGCTTATCTGCTAAGTTTATGAACTGATTGATACCTCTGTAGTTTGAAATTGGTTGTCCTAATTCTGCAGCATTATTTCATTCGTACTGATTGGCTTAGTTCGGATGTAAACATATTTCATCTTAAAAATATAGTTTTATTGTTGACTTGAATATTAGACTATTCCATCAAAAGTTGATGATTATTCTGGTTCGTTTTTTAACCGAGTCCTAATTTATGAATTTCTTTCTTTAAAGTTTTATATTTTTGGTGGTCTAGTTCCAAGTTGGTACTTGCTTTTCTGTTATATGAAACAATTTGCTAGTGACTGACGATATAATGTTCGACCTTGTCGCCCAGTTTTTCGACACACTACTGTAAATACTGACAAATATATTATGTTCATTGTTCATACTTTGAAATGGACGGTGCGAGATTTGACGTCTATCTGACCTTCGCGGCTTAACGAAGATTTATTGTATGGCATATAGTATTTCACATTTTAAAAGGGTACAAAGTTGACTAAACAATTTTATATAAATGACGTACAATGTTGACATTCATATTCGTAATGCATTAATTGTACTTTCAGGTAAAAGGTTTGCTTCCTGATGAAGAGAAAGAGAAAATCGGCCCAAAGAATATAGGTTCAAAATCTGGTAAAATCAACATACAAAGCGTAATTACTACGAAGCCACCTACTGCACTTCCAGTAAGTTTTCTTTATAGTTTTCAATACGTTATTCCTATGTTAAAATATCATTTATTCGATTTTAGCCAAAACCACCAGTCTCTTTAATTCAAACTCAAGCAACTGCGTCGCTGATATCAGTACCTCCACAACCTATGCTACCACCTCAACCTCCTATTATGATGATGTCAGCTGCATCTATGCCTCCAATTAGACCACCTCCAATAATGAGTAAGTATACGTAGCTTAATTTCTAAATTAAACGGTTGCTCTGATCTCTTCTAAATAAAATTTATAGAAACATTATTTTGTTTATATGGGTTTGGCGCCATGTTACCAAATCCACTGGTAACTTTAGCATCCTAATATTTAATACCATATAATGTAAACTAAATTTAAACAGATAATCTTTAACGGGTTTTTATCCAGATATTTAGTGGCTCAATACATGTACACCTAGACACTGATGATGGAATATGGATTCCGAAAACGTTTTGTGATATAGCCCGATTGGGTTTTTTTAAATTATATATAATATTAGTAATGTTATATATTACATATATATATATATATATATATATATATATATATATATATATATATATATATATATATATATTGGGGGACACACGCCCTTCCGGTAGGGATCTATGGAGGAGTATCACCGAGACGCAAGCCCTTATCTCTTGCCGTACTGCTCCACCATAGACCGATCAGATACCCGTATATTCTAGACTAAGCCGCAGATTCATTTAGGATTTTAAACTGCTGCATTAGTCTTTTTGTTTTCTGTATACCGAGCTGGGGATCGAACTGACATATCTCGCAGTGGTGCAGCGAAGGAGAAGCCAGCCGTCCAGCCCGCTTGGCTATCCGATCGGCTGTTTTTAAATTGTATACCTTTTATAAAGGATTTTAAATATTTTTTTATTTTTTTTTTAATTGAAAAAGTTTACATGTGGTTTTTGTGAGTGTTTCTGGATTGGTTAGTTTTGTAATTTTATTATTTATTTTATTATTTTTATAGAATTTAATAAAAATGAAAAAGTACATGTGGTACGGACACTCCTCGTCGCTTAAATGGATTCTTCCAACTGTTTACTGAGACTACTATTTCATAAAAAGCCATATTTAATATGTACTGATTTATAAATCTCTTCCTTAGTATAAATATGAAAATTCAACTTAAAATCACATAGTAAAGGAGGGAAATGCAAGTGGTTGGCTGTATACCATAGTTTAAAAAAACTTACATAGAAGTAAGAACTTCTTGTGTATAATGGTATATTTTTTATAAAAATATGTTCAAAAGGATTACAAATCTTCAAAACAATTTCGATCCAGTCTGACCATCACCAGTGACAAAAACATTAAAAGTAGTTTAAAATAGCTACGTAAACAGAGTAGAAACCCTTTTCTTACATGAAAACCATGGTTAATTTTAATATTTTAATGACAATAGTTCGATGATATAAGATTTAAAATGAACTGCACATACATCTTCTCTGCTCGAAAGGGGGGACAACTTTGTTCAACTATCAGTTAGCTGTTCCTATTATTCTCATTGGGTTTTTTAAAATTGGAAATCATCTTTTCCATACCCTGTATTGCCTTTCCACTACATTGTTAGTTCGTATGGGAGATTCAATATAAAGATTATTTGTTTCTGTTCTAGCATCTAATAGTCGTGTCGTTAAATATGATTTCAAACTGTAACACTCTCACCAATTATAAAAGATAGTACAAAGCTAACAAAGTCTCCAGCTTCAAATCATTGTATGCCACTATTGTTAAATATTGTTTGATCAGGTACAAACCCAGCCATCCTGCACAACATTTTAATTTTTAGACTAGTCACTGATTGTTTGGACATTTAATGCAAAAATTATTTTTGTGAACGATATATTTCTGTATCTGCACCTATAGAAATATGCTTTATTGCCACTGAAAATTGTACAATTTTATGGACAAAGCTTACAAAAAGTCAAAACATAACAATTAAAATTTACTAAAATTACCTAAATCGTCAATATTACAAAATAAAAGATAATCAAGTATACAATCCATTGCAAATTTAACTAAGTTGCAAACCTCCATGAGAGTCCATTTTTATTAAAAAACAAATACAGTTTAAATTTTGAATGTAAATACGTGCCACACATAGCGTGTTTGCACTCATAATCAGTTAGAACTTGAAATAGTTTTTGGTTATGATTTGTTTGTTTGTTCCTGTTTGATTCACTGTAGTCGTGATAGACTTTAGCATATTTTATGGTACCCCTTGAAAACGTATATATTAAAACACCGAAAACATTTATAATCTTTTTGCGTCGCTAAGGTTTTTAATTTAAGCATTTTCGAGTCTGTTTATAATAATTTTAATTGCTATGTCGTTTGATCTTGATCCGCCTAGATATTGCGCCCTATTTAACAATTTAGGAACCTTCTTGTGTATTGTTGCCCATGAAATCTCTGTAAGTATTTTTTTATCTCTTTTTTTGTAGTTAGTTTCTCCAGCCACGACCTAACTCTCCAACCAAAACACGAGTAGTCGTTCGCAAACTTTTCAATTTGTTTGCTTACCCTATCTCCAGCCCAGTAATTTGTCAGTTCCCCTTTCAACCCCCTATAAGGAATTATATATTCTACAATTGTCTTCCAGTAACGTGGTAAGCTGTTTATATTATTACAACTGACACCCAAAATGGTAGACAAATTTAAATTATTACTATATAATTTGAGTTGGTGGAAGACTTCACAACGCTGACATCTCATATAGAGACACCATCTGTTCTGTCACTCCACATATGTTTTGTCTTTGAGTATTTTTTATTATTATTTTCTTTTTATATTTAGTTTAATTAATGTGTGTGAATGGCTTTACGTACGTAAACTAATACGGCCCTGTAGACACCGCCCCTCATATACTTACAGGACGAAAAGATTATTCGACATGCACACACATAGCTCAGTCTTTTTATAACCAACTAACCACTTCAGTTTTGTGGTATACAGTATAAAATATAGAAACATACATAATATTCAAATTAATTGATAACTTTGCATTTAACTTATTTCCACATAAAAAATAATTCCAGCACCTTTTAAACATTATATGATTGTTATAAAGGTAAACTCCCATAGTTAATAAATAAATTATTCAGCATCCTATCGTTATTCCACAAAAACATCATTTTACACACCTACATGTACGACATGCACACATGAAATTACAACATGCTGGTCCACAGTTACTTTTATCTTCCTTGCCAAAGAAATATTGAACTCTCAATGGACGCTAGGTCATTAGAAATTTTTTTAGAAACTGCATTACATATTCCGAAGCAGCTCCAAAACTCTAAATTTATTTAAACGACCCTTTACCCACTGGAGACTTGATTTTACGGGACTCTTTCCTTTAAAGGACCGTCTAACTAGAAACTACAAGACTATTAAGGGTTATGTAGCACTTTTTATTTGTCTGACCACAAAGGCTATACACTTGATATTACTTCTCGACGGGATAAATACACCTCTATTCTTTTTGATAATTTGAGCACCTTTATAGGTGCCGACAATGAACTTTCCAACTTTTTCAAAGCTATCCATTCTGACTTAAATAATACACTCTCTTCTGAGGGTATCTGTTGGAAATTCATTCCGCCGCATTCACCTTACTTTGGAGGAATCGGGGACAAAATCGGTAAAATACCATCTTAAACAAGTCATTCTCTCCTATGATGGGTTTTACACGATTTTCAGCCAAATTAAGGAATATCTCAATTCCAGACCACTTTTTCCTATGTCTAATGCCCCTTCAGACCTACTTCCTCTAGCACATTTTCCTTAACGCAATCTGTTAGATGTTATGGAGAACAGATTGAGCAGATTTCAAAGGACGCAAATGATCATGCAATGTTATTAAGCACGATGGTTCAAAGAATACGCCTCTTCTCTTTAGCAACTGGTCAAGTAGAAGAAACAATGCAGTTTCCTTCTCAAGATTAGTTCCTTAGTACTTATTAAAGAAGATGGGACCTCTTAGATGTGCCTTATGAAGAGTAACTGTCATCCATTCCGGCAGTGACGGAATTGTACATAGTGTAACGCTAACAAAAATTTTGTTTTGATAAACGTTACAATTTCAGCTGTTGTCTTTCAAACGTCCAACTTTCAACATTCCCGGCGAAGCGGTTTAGCACGATAATATCAAATTGGCTTCGAAACAGTTTTTTTAACTGAAATCACCCTCTCTGCTCGAAGACATCGAACCAACAAGAAACTGAAAGAATTCAAGAATCCATTTTCCACTGAACAGTTTTAACAATGTTTGATACCAAGGCTGTTTTCTGTTCGGTTGGCAGTTCTTCGCTTCTCGAAAAGTTATTAAACACAAAAGCGAGTAGTCCATACTTTAAAATTTCAATGGGGATACCCGTAGGTTCAGAAGCTCGACCATGTTTCATTGTCTTTAGGACTTTCTTTACTTCAGTTAGTGTTATGGCGTTTTCTATTATAAAAGATGTCTCTGACTGGACAGACTGGTCATTATCTCATTATCTACAATAAGAAATTGTAGATGATCTTCAGTCACTAGATTTTGTTAATAATCTTTCCAATCTTTTAACGGTATTATACTGATATGAACTTAATCCTTTTTATTTTAATCATTAAAATCTTTCGTTTGATTAAAAACGTTCTTAAAGATTTTATTTTTCTCCATTCTCCACTCCGTCATTCTTTTGTATTCCTTCGATCTAGTATTTGTTCTTCTAATGCTCCTATAAAAAGAACACAAGAAAGATAAAAATCTGCACCTATAAAATATCCTTTTATTGTATACATAAATACACCGAAACAGTCATATTCCGAGGGTACAAACCCCACCCTCAGATTTTTGCAACTTAAAGCATGCTATTGCATCGATGCCAAATAAGTCAACCGTCAATTTTGAAAAAACATAACCCGCTCATAACTTGTTGGTTATACAAAATAAGCCTTTTTTGAAATCGATTTTCGGAGTGGAAATCGAAACGTCAAACATTAGTTAAAAACATAATCCTCATTTCAATGAATTGTGGCTTAATCCCATAGAAACATAATATTTAACTATTTATTAAAGTCAATACTTCTAATCGCTCGGTATGATATTTTGAACGCGACCGAAATGCGTGTCTCTAAAAATCGAGACGGGTGTAGTAACCTTGCAGTATATCATAATATACATACATATACAATTATTATAATTTTATAGAATATATAACTCGAGAACGACTGGCTCGGTTTGGCTAATTTTTATTTTAAAATGTTTGTATGAAATAAATTAAATAAAATTTAATAAAATTTAATATAATTAAATATAATTATTAAAGAATTAATAAAAAATTTTAAACTTAAAAATTATAAAAAATTTTTAAAAATTAAAAAAAAATTCCTTGTATAACAACTTTACAATGTTTACAACTTTACAATGTTTGTATACGGCTGTCTGGTCACAAATGACCAAGTATCAGTTATTATCTGATCGAACTTAACAAACAGCAAATACTTAAGTCTAAGGGCTTACCCTATGGCTTACTCTTATTTTATCTATCAACTAATGTTCTACAACTAACATGCAATAATATCACACCACTGTACTCTGCTTTTTACACTAAACTATTATACATTTACACTAACTCAAATGTTTTTTTTTAATAAAAATTTTGACAGTTCACTACAAGGAGAATTCATAGTACTACAAATAGGTCTAAGTTTTATTATGATTTTTTTTTATATATTTTTATGGTTTTATTAAACCGTAAAAAAATATAGCATATTATAAAAATTAGTATAAATAAAATAAAATAAATATAATAAATAAATAAAACATTTTAAAAAAATATTAAAAAGTTTAAAAAAAGTATAAAAAATTATAAGCAATTTAAAAAATTTATTGCTGAATGTCTAATTGCAAGTTTTAGCTTTGTGTTTGAGGTCTGCCCTACAGTAGATGGGTTGCTTGGGTTGAAGTAAATTGGTTGGGGTTGTGGGGGAAATTGTTGTGGTTGTGGTGGAAAAGCGAATTGATTTTGTGGAATGTTTGATATAGGAGTATTTGCGGGTTGCCAGTATATTTGGTTTGGTGCATGTTCGGATGTGTATTCTAGTGGAGAATATTATTGAGGAGTTGGGTACATGTTGTACCCAACTCCTCAACCTCAACCCAAGAGTGAATTGTTCATTGTAGAAAACAGAATTTGGTACGCCACTGCCCCTTTACTGTTTATTTTAATAACTAGAATTTTAATAATTAGTAATTAGATTTTAATTGTTCTTTTCGGTGGTCACTTTTTGCTATCGCACTCGGCGGAATACGTCCTTACTCTACGATATACAGGTGAACACTACGATAATAATGAAAATGTATATGATGAATAAATTCTATAGGTATTATATTTAACAAATATTGAAAATTGCTAGTCATTAAAAAAACTTTTAAGGAAAAAAATTAAGATTTTTTAAATTTTAAAGAACTTAATGTGTAGTGTTATTATAAAAAATATTAACAATTCAGCAATAAGCAGACATACAGTTTCATTAACCTAAATAAATAGTAATAACACGTTATAAGAAGCATTCCCTTCTGTTAGCACTCCCCAAGTACCACACTCCTTTGTATTTTATCTAGTCGTACTTTAGTTGACTTCAAAAAACGTCTTCAGAAAAAAAATTCTTATTAAGAGAATTGTTCAAATTAATATGTATATTCTTGAACTTGCATGTATTTTAAAATTTTTATTTAGTGACAGGACCTCCACCAATACCTGGTTTTCCTGTAGCACCAATGTCCTCGCCTATGGGTCCGCCTATGAATCTGCCCCCAATAAAACATCAGGCGGACGCGCCTCACGAAGATGAACCGAGTAACAAAAAGATGAGAAACGAAGATTCGCTTATACCCGAAAAAGTATTTTTAGCAAGACATCAAGTAAGTTTATGTAATTTATTACTATCACATTTTATAAAGTATTATGGTGTGATTATTTCGATACGTTTGTGGAAGATGGCCAATTACAACTATAACCAAAGATACGATAGGAACCTGTAATAGTTCTAGTAACATAATATGATATACTATGCAGTATTGTACGAATTAATGTAAATGCATTTTTTTTAAGTATGTTTATATCAAAATAGTGAGACAAGTTCTGACGATCAGTGAGTAATGCCAATGGCCAATTTTATCGGCCGGTACATACTTCAGAGGCACACAGTGATTCTATTTTCTTTCATCTAAGGTAGATGGAGCCTATTTATTTGTGTCGGCTCAATTCAATCCTAGTTTGTCTGCGACTACCACTATTTAATGAGCCTCAATAGGGCGATGAGTTAAGGCAAAAATTCAATACGTTTTTATAAAACAGTTGGGTTAAACCTTTCTTATTGACATTACACGAACAAATACTAATTTAAAACTCCATTTTTATTTACAGAGCCAAGTGGCCATTAAGATTTCGATTCCTCATATGCCAGAAAAATCTGAATGGAAGCTGACAGGTAAAATGATTTCGTGGACTGTACCGCTTGCCGAATCTGTAGCGAATTTAAAGGCGAAACTGCAGGAAGAAACTAATATGCCTCCAGCCAAACAGAAGTTATTTTTTGATGTAAGTTGTTTAGTATATGTATTTTAGTTATTTTTGGATGTAAGTTGTTTAGTATATGTGTTTAGTAGCAAAATATGATCACTTCTTCGTCCTCTTCTTGATGTGCCTATCTGTTACGAATGTTGGCGATCATCATGGCAATCTTTATCTTATCTGCAGCAGCGCGGAAAAGCTGCACAGATGTTGTATTGAACCAGATTCTGAGGTTCTTTAACCAAGATGTTCTTTTTCTTCCTGGACCTCGCTTTCCAAATATTTTTTCTTGCAGAATGGAACTATTTCCATCTATACATTTTTTTTTACAAAATTGTTTTTTTTCTATTATGTTTTTTTTTTGTTTCATAAGTTTCCCTTCTGTATTCTCTTCTATCTTCTTAATCTTCTGTAGTCCGCCACTTTTAGTAATAGTCTAAGATCCCACTGCAGAATGACTACGTTCATAACGTTCTTATATACATAACTTACATTCTTATATACATTTGAAATTAGAAGAACCAGTCAAATAGTTTTTTTTATATATATATTAAACCGGTTTTATAGCGTTCTACGCCTTTCCGTTCCTAATCGCCACTCTTTTCTATTATGGCAGTGTTCATCTCTCAAATTTCGTTCCGACATTGCCTTGGAGATGCCTTTCATCCATGTGGTTACTGGTCTTCCTCGTTTTCGTTTTTCTGTGGGGGTCCATTCTAACACTTTCTTGGGGATTCTTCTTTCCTCCATTCGTCTTACGTGCCCGTACCATACTAGCTGTTGTCTTTCAATGTCATCTATGATTGTTCTTTCTATTTCCATTTGTTGTCTAATGTCGTCGTTTCTTATGTGTTCTAATCTAGATCTTCTTGCTGACCTTCTCCAAAAATCCATCTCAGTGGCTAGTAATTTATCCTTGTATTTCTTAGTTAATTGCCAGACTTCAGCTCCATAAGTTAACACTGGTTTTAATATTGTGTTGTAAATTCGTTTTTTATTTTCTGTTCTTATATTTTTTTGCCACAGTACCGAATTCAGGGCTCCTATCACCTGTCTTCCCTTTACTATTCTGTCTTTAATATTTTCTTCGGTTCGTCCTGTGCTCGTTAGTTTTATTCCCAGATATACATATTCCTTACAGCTTGTAATTGTCTCCTGTTCCAGGTTCAGGTTCTCTGTTTCTTCTCTGCCTACACATAGATATTGTGTTTTTTTGGTGTTTACCTCCAGACCCCATTTTCTGTATTCCTCTATCAGTTTCCTTGTCATATATTCAAGATCTTCTTTGTCCTGTGCAATTACAATTTGGTCATCTGCATAGTGTAGCGTATAGAGTATCGTATCTCCTATCGGTAGTCCCATTCCATTGCACTTCTTCTTCCACTGCCTCAGGGCTTCATCAATATATATATTAAATAATACTGGCGATACACAGCATCCTTGCCTTAGTCCTTTAGTGACGAGGAAACCTTTGGATATTCTATTTCCAATTTTAATTTTAGATGTCGAGTTTCTATATAGTTCTTTCAGCGCCTGTATGATAGATACAGATAGTTTTTTTTATAATTATGCTTATTTACAATATATATTATAACAGAGTAAATATATTACTGTTATTGGGCGTGAACGAGAGACATCCCTCTCTCACCTTATTCTATGTTAGTTTAGTTTTGAATCAGGTCTTGGGGTCAGGTTCTATCTAGTCTTCTTGTGGTTGGCCATTGTTGAATAATTTCCATACAGCTCATTTTTATGGTGAATAGTACGTTCATTTTGTGACTCCGTGGCTCGATGGATTTCTTCTCTGATGAAAGGAATCTTTAAGTCGTAGTGAAGCGTTTGATTACTTATGTATCATGGTGCATCCACTAACGATCTTAGCACTTTATACTGGAATCTTTGGATGATATTCAGTAACGTTGGCTTTGCACAGCCCTACATGTGTAGTCCGTAGAACCAGAGAGGCTTGCGTATGGCTTTGTTTAGAAGAATTTTGAGTGGGATGCTAAGTTTTGATTTACACTAAGGAACCAATACATTTGCCGAAATTTTAAGTCGAGCTGTCTTCTTCTGGTCTGGATATGTTTCTTCCAAATGAGACGTTAGTCAAGGTGGAGGCCAATCTAGCGTCTGTTACTGTTGGTATTCTTACATTTTCCGTTCTTACAGATGGGCATGTGTTGGGGCGGTTGGTAAGTGTTATTTGACTTGATCTTGTTATGTTTACTTTTGTTCTTCATTTTGTGTACAAATCACTGAGTATGTTCAGATGATGTTGCAGGTTTTGTATGGGATCTTCATTTACAGTTAATTTTGCTACATCACCAGCACAGAGCTAGCTGCTAGGACGTAGGTTGGATTGTTGGTCATTGAATTTTACAGAGACATATCTATTTGATATGTAGGAGTAGGAGGAAATATTTACTGGATAGTGCTATTTTTACTTTGTAGAGCAGACCTCTGTGCCAGACTTTATCAGACGCTTGTTGGGTAGTGGAGTGATTTACCCGAAAACAAAAATGATGTTTTGGTATTAATGTTGGGAATCCATGATCTGCATATATCCTTTATAGCAGCAATCGTTCAAAAACTTTACTTAGTTGGAAGTAGACTGATGGGTCGATAATATGTTACTTCATTGAGCTCTTTTCCTGGCTTAAGGATAATAGTGATTTCAGCAAATTTCCATATTTTTGGAAAGTATTATAAGCTTAACATGCCGTTAACTATAACGGTTGGCATAGTAATGGTCTTGCGAGGAAGTTGTATTAGTACTTGTGCCGAGATTAAATCATAATCTAGGGCCTTTCGTGAGTTAAGTTTGTTTATTTCTTTCTTGACTTCTATAGAAGTAAAACTTTTGATCGGGAGTGACATTTGACATGCTGCACTAATTAGTTCTTCCACTTCTTTTGTGGTGGAACATTTGTGGTATGTGTTGGTTTGCGTTCAGTTCGTGGTGTAGATTGCCATGCCGCATTTTTACACAAGTGCGGTGAAGTATTCAGCTGCTGTATCTTTGCCATGTGTAGATTTGATCCGCAGATAAGATTAGTGTTTTCTTCTAGGTAGGATTGAAAATATGCCCAGTTGGTGTTTTTAGATGTGGGTGGTTTATAACTATGGTACTCAGGCGCGTAATTACCGGTGTATGATCCGATGAGAGGTCATAGCTGCATTGTATTAGACAGTTGTTTCTGGATACTTCTTTACTTATGTAGTAATCCAGTAGTTCTGGAAGTTTTTACGTAGTTGTCCGTCATTGCTTTTAAAAGATTACGACCTTTTGTTGTTGTCTTGAGCCCCGGTGTGTGTTTCGCAATCCAGTTTTCCCCGGCTAGAAATTTACTGCCAAGTAATTAGAATAAGGCTTTGTATTTATCTATGGAGATTGCATTACTAGGTGGGCTGTAGATTGCAGATATGTTGGTGCCATGGTGTCGCATTCACTTGAACGATTGCTGCTTTATTTTTTGTTGCATATTTCGGCAATTCATGATGTGATTGCAGCTGAGGATGATTACCGACGAGGCACCATGAGCTGTAGCATTGGGATGAGGTTGTAAGTGGTATAGAGCGGAGTATTGAGCGTAGTTAGATCGGTAAAGTGGGTTTCTGAAATACGCAGAACGACGATTTTATCCAGGTTTAAGAATGTAATTACTTCCCGCCTATTGTTTTTTATCAGGCCGTTAGCGTTCCGTATTATTTTATTAAATAATCTCTGTGGTTAATGACTTGTGTTAGTAAGTTTAATATCATATCATCTATTTTGACTCATGAGTTGCGAGAACATGTTTATGAACTTGTTTAGGAATGTTATTAGTTGTTGTACTATATTAGTTTTAAGTTCTGATTTGTGGTTGGTTTGATGTGCTGTCACGTTTGCATATGTTCTTTGATGATTTTGTAGAGTAGTGTTTAGCTGATTTGTTTCAGTACATACATGTGGGCTGTTGAATGATGTTCTTTGAGGCTCTTGGTTTTCTCTTTTTGGCATATGTCTGTTTGTTCCCCGTAGACTACTCAGCCCTTATACTTCGAAGTGTGATCTTGTTTGCATAGTACGCACTTAGCCGGAGTGTTTCTAGGTTTTTTACAATATTTTGTATCATGCTGTCCTCCGCATTTAACGCAGTAGTGCGGTTTAGTGCAATACATGTTTTACTATGGCCGTATGCTTGGCATTACATGCATTGGATAATTGAGTCTCTCTTATTTGATACCTTAACTGTTATTTTTGGTGTGACATAAGAATTCTAGGTTAAATATGTCTTTGTTGTTACTGTTGGGTTCAAGGTCTATGAAAATATTAAGACTATATCTCCTCTTATTTTCATGTCTGCACTGTTTATTCTTTTCTTTATTTATATTCTATTCTTTTTTGTTTCTTTATTTCAATAAAATTGCAATGTCCATTTTCCATTGTTTTGGTTCCGTAAAAGTATCTTGGAATTTATTGTATATACTTTGTAAATTACATCTTATATTTATTTTCCGTTTTCGCTTCCGAGTTCGTTTCCGTCCGGTTCCAAGTCTTTTTGTTGAGATTGTTAGCTTATATTTTTGATTTAAAGGTGCCACACAGTGTACGATTTGACTAATCTAGGTGGGCTACTGGATACTAGGTGGTAAACTCGAACTTTATTGAAGGCTTATAAATTTTATTTTATGATGATAACAGAGGTAATTGTGCTAAAGCCATAACCAAATTTTAAATAATTTTTAAATAATGGTTTAATAAAATATATTGCTATGATGTTTTGTTTGTGTATGAGCAATGAATAATTTAAAATAACATATATAAGTATAGGGTTTTTATCGCGGTTCTCAAAGAATTAGTTTGTAAGTACTTTTTTAAATTATCTTTATTATAACTATTATGAAACATACATATATATCTAATATAGACAATATAAATTTCGAACAACCTATCTTAAATTTGAAATTCTTACAATAATTAAATTATATTAACAAACTTTGGTACCTTTCTATCACTATTCACAGTATTTAGTTAGCCGCCGAAG